GATCCAACCAGGGAACAGGATATTTTAGACCTGCTAAGGTGTAATGAGACAAGTTTAATGAATGATGTTAGAATATAAGACCCCTGAGGAAACAGTAACCATAACATAGTAGAATTTAGCTTTCATAGAATCATAGAAATGTTACAGCACAGAACGTGGCCATTTGGCCTATTGCGCCTTCATCATCTCATTAAATGAGCACCATTATCTCATTCCAATCTTCTTGCATGTTATTTTTGTCTAAATAATCATCCAATGGCCTCCTGAATGCCTCGGTTGAACCCTCTTCCACCACCCTTCCAGGCAGAGCATTCAATACACTAATCATTCACTCAGTCAGAAAGATCAATAGTACAGAAAAAGGCCCTTTGGCCCATTTTGTCACAGCTGGTCAAAAACAACTACCTAACTATTCTAGTCCCATTTTCCAGCACTTGTATGCCTTGACTTTACAAGTGCACGACTGAATACTTCTTAAACTTATAAGACTTTCTGCCTCTATCACATTTTCAGGCAGTGAGTTCTAGAGTCCCACCAGCCTCTGGGTGAAAAAGTTTTTCCTTATATTTACTCTAGACCTTCAGCCCCTAACTTAAATGTCTGACTCCTGGTCATTGATTCCTCCATCAAGGGGAAAAGTTTCTTCCTGTCTATCCTATCCATGTCATTCATAATTTTATACATTTCCATCACAACACCTCTAAATCTGCTCTGTTCTAAGAACGTGAGAGCTGGGAGCAGGAGTAGACAATTCAACCCCTTGAGCCTTCTCCACTAATTGAAATGATCATGGTTGATCTCATCTCAGCCTAAACTCCACTTTCCTGCCTGCTTTCCATAACCCTTCAATCTGTTACTAATTAAAAATCTGTCTAACTCCTCCTTAAATTTACTTAACTGCCCTAAAGTTCACCACACTCTGGAGCTCTAAATTCCACTGATTCCAAGGAAAACAACCCCAAACTCTCTTCATAACTGGACACAGACTTCCAGTTGCAAAAACAAGACTTAAGCATCACCCTCTGTTTCCTGACACTCCAGATCCAATTAGCCAAATTTCCTTGGATCCTATGGACTTTACCTTTGTTATTAATCTCTCACGTGAGACCTTATCAAAAACTTTGCTGAAATCCAAGTAGAACATGTTGAATGCACTGTCCTCACCTACACACCTGGTCGCCTCTTTGAAAGATTCAATCAAATTGGTCAAACATGACTTCCCATGAACAAAACCATGCTGACTGTTCTTGATTAATCCCTGCCTCTCCAAATGCAGCTTAACTCTGTACCTCAGAATTACTTCCAATAGTTTCCCTGTACTGAAGTTATACTCACTGGCTTGTAGTTTCCCGGTTTACCCCTTGCTGCCTTCTTGAATAATGGTACCACACTGGCTGTCCTCCTGTGGCTAGACAGGATTTGAAATTATTTGCAAGTGACCTTGTTATTTCCTCCCTTGCCTCACTCAACAACTGGGATACGTCTCATCTGGCCCTAGACATTAATCTACTTTTAAGACTGACAGACCACTCTGAACCTCCTCTCTATCTATTCTAATTTCTTTAATTGTATCACAGTCTTTCTCCCTGATTTGTGCACCCATATTGTCCTTCTCACTAGTGAACACAGGCACAAAGTATTCATTTAAAATTTCCTCTGAATCAACACACAAATTATCAATGTGGTCCTTAATGGGTTCTACTCTTCCCCTTGTTAAACTATTACCCTTAATACACCTGTAAAACAAATGAGGATTTTTGTTTATTTTACATGGCAGTATTCTTTCATGTCCCTTTTTAGCTCTCCTAATCACCTTTTTAAGTTCCTTTTGCACATTCTATACCCCTCTAGGACTTCTGCTGTTTTGATCCCTATGTAGCTGCCATAAGCCTGCTTTTTTTTTCTTTTGAGGTAATGAGCAAGTAAGACAAAGGCGACCCCTTGGAAATGGTGACACCAAGCAATGTTACATTCAACCTGAGATGGGCCATGTTTGGTTCTTGATTCCAATGCGGGGAAATGGGAGCTGGATGAGGAACATCCAGTCTGAAATTGGTAGGGGTAACTTTATAATGAAGATTAAAATTAATGTCAGAGTAAAGATTGGCATTGATGGGGGTGATGAATATCTCACTACCGTTGGGTCCTGTTCTTAATCCTAAATTCTGCTTTTGGGACCTCATCACTGTTTCAATCCATGTCATTGGTACCAGTATGTATCATGTTATCTGTCTGTTTGCACTCCACCTTCAGAATGCGCTGCAGCTGTTCAGTGGCATCTTTGACCCTGGCACCAGGGAAGGAACCTACCATCCCAGAGTCTCCTTTGCGGATGCAGAAATGCCTGTCTGTTCCCAATATTATTAAAGTGTTCCCTAGTTTTTTTTTATTCCTTCATGGGACATTGACAGACTGGTTGGTCCAGCATTTAATTACCAATCCCTAATTTCCTTTGAGAAGGTGGTGGTGGTGAGTTGACTTTTTGAACAGCCATAGTCCATTCAGTTTAGGTAGATTTACAATGCCATTAGGGATGAAGTTCCTGGATTTTTGACCCAGTGAACTGAAGGAACAGCAATGTATTAAAAATATGACGCTTTTTCCCAGGATGGAGGGGTCAATTACTAGGACATAAGGTGTGAAGGTGAAGGGGAGGCAAGTTTAAAAGAGAGGTGCAAGGCAACGTTTTCACACAAACAGTGATGAGTGCCTGGATGGCGCTGCCAGAGGAGGTGGTGGAAGCAGACAAATAGCAGCATTCAAGAAGCATCTGGATGAATACATGAACAGGAAGGGAATAGAGGGATATGGATCCTGTAAATTTAGTTTTAGAATAGAAGGGCAAAATGTGATGGCGCAGGCTTGGAGGGCCGAACGACCTGTTCCTGTACTGTATTGTTCTTTGGTATTTCCAAGTTAGAATCATTGCAGTGATGCCAGGTATGTAGGCTGTACGTCTCAAAGATCTGTCACTCTTACCAAACAACATGTTTCTTTGGCTTTTTGTAACAAACATGGGACTGACCATGCCCATGCAGCCTATACTTGGAAAATTTGTAACACAGTGTCTAACATTAGAAGTGAATCTGTAATTGGACAACGTTTGAGGGATAATTTTGAGTGTGCAAGTTCTTCTGGTGTTATGGAATTACACTGGCAACCAATTTAGAATTGTCAGCCAGCCTCGCAGTGTGCTGCATGTGTATACTGGAAGCCTGATATATTAATACACAGGGTCCTGTACTTTGCAGACAGAGAGCATGTACAGGCACTGTGCCTATTTCAACTCAAAAAATAGATGTCTGGCATTCGCTGGTTCATTTCTCCAGACCATGTCTGGTTGTTAACTATCAATCATTATTAATCAGTGCATTCTCAAGGCAATGCCTCTACCAATCAGAATCCACTTGCTAACCAATCAGCACTCTTCTCTCATGCAGTATAAATGTTGCTTTTCCCTTGAATTTGTATTCTTGCATAATGTCCCAATGAGCACAAATGAAAAAAAGTAGGTGTCATGGTGGCTCAGTGGTTTGCACTTCTGCCTCACAGCACCAGGGATCTGGGTTGGATTCCACACTCAGGCAACTGACTATATGGTGTATGCACATTCTCCTTATGTTTGCGTGGGTTTCCGTCAGGTGCTCTGGGTTCCTCTCACAGTCCATGTGCAGATTAGGTGGATCAGCCTTGGTAAAATGCAGAGTTACAGGGATAGGGTATAGGGGATGGGATGCTCTTCAGAGGGTTGGTGTGAACTTTATGGGCCAAATAACCTTCTTCCACTCTGTAGGGATTCTATTTTTTCAACAATACTTAAATTGAATAGTAAAAGATGAAATGCTCATAATTGTATTATCTGAATCTTATCTTCCAATTTATAAAACTATCAATGATAGTGAATTTCAATGTTTTGTTTATTCATTCATGGCTAGGGCAGCACTTATTGACCATCTCTAATTGTCCAGAGGGCAGTTAAGAGTCAACTACATTGCTGTGGGTCTGTTAAATTTCCTTCCCTAAAGGACATTAATGAACCAGATGTTTTTTTCTGACAATCAGCAATGGCTTCATAGTCATCAGTAGATTGATTGTACCATCTACCATGGCATAACCCAGGTACCCAGGAATTTAGTTCGATTAATAGTCCAGCGATAATACCGTTAGGCCATCGCCTTCCCAAACCAAGTTTATCCAGAACTAAAAATAGCAGATTGTGGGCGAGGATGTGGCGTAGTGGTAACTTCATTGGAGTAGTACTCCAGAGCCTCAGACAAATGTTCTGAAACCATTTCTTTCTGGTCATATTGTCAACACCCTCTTCCAAATCCGTGGTCTCTAACACCTAGAAGGATAAACGCAACAGATCTGGCAGCATCTGTGAAGAAAAGATCAGAGTTAATGTTTCGGGTCCGGTGACCCTTCCTCAGAACTGGACTTGTTCTTTTCCGCAGTTCTTTTGATTTTTAAGAGCAGCAGATACTTGGGAACACCACCGGCTGCAAAACACCCACTTCATCCTGATTTGGAACTGTATATTACTATACATGTTAATGCTGCTCCCTCACTCATGCTCCCTTCTCCCTCAGTGCCCTTTTGTTACAGACTGTATCTAAGCTGATGTTAATCCAGCTCCCTCACATTGTCACTTAGGTAGCCCCTTTGTTCCCAGTGACCTGTGTTGCTGACTATATTTCTAATGCTGTTAATCCAGCTCCCTTATACTGTCATACATATTGCCGTTTGCTGTGCATCCTGCTCATCAATTCCTCTTATCCTGTTTCAGTTGATGAGATACTAATGTAAAATCTGTAAACCTCTTATGCTCCCTTGGTGGACACAAGCATGTATTAGGGCTAATGTCGGTTCTGATTTGTAAGCAAAGTTCTTCACTAATGGCATGCTGTGCCCTCAGCAGCACCTCAGAAAATTATTCTCATCTTCATATAAAGTTAATTATACCAAAGGAGCAATGAAATCTTACAGTGCAGCTGTCTTACCGGCTGCTCTGGGTATGAATCGAGGGTAATTGGCTGCGTTGCCATCATGGTTTCAAGGGAAGTTGGAAGAATGTTTGCATCATGAGGAAGGAATCTGGTGACCCTGAAACATAAAACAGGGAGGTTAAGGAAGGTGTAGTTTGAGGTACAGTTCACAATTTTTCACTTTTTTTCCCCCTTTTGTTTCCAATGACATGGACTATATTCTGACAAAGGCACAGAGGTGAGAATTCTGCCTCTGTGTCTTGATCACTATGCAATTAGCTGCCTTAAGTTGATGCTTCATACCCTGAAGTATATCAGCATTCATTTTTCATCTACACAGGAGGACTTTCCAAAATGTAGATTGTGATCAAAATCAAAACTAGCCAGACTAGTACCTCACCCTATGTTGAGAAATATTAGACCAACAGACACCATAATCCCTAAACATAAACTCCAGAGCTCTGCAAAAGCAAACTCACTCCAAAATGTAGCAGTGCAGTGGGGAGTGGGAGGGGGCTCACAGTGAATGTATAATGCTATTATTATCTTACAATAATGACAAAGCAAGGAGGTACAGTTTATCACAAAAGTTTACACACTGCTTTAGAAAAGGAATTGGGAATTGGGAATTTGCTGAGTCTGCAACAGTGAAAAGGGTATACCCTAATGTTGGGAATCTGCGACCACAGAATAAAATAGAGGGTTCTACTCCTACAGAGGTGATACAAAGTTTCAAGGTCACAGTTGTTATCACTGTCACACATATAGATTTATAGCGGGAACAATTTGGGAGCAACCTTATTGAAGTAGTTTAAGAGTCACTTCTTAAACGGCTTGCAATGAAGCCATAGGGGAACTGGGAGGGTGAACTTATTGTGACTAATGAGGCTGGATGAAACAGTCATATTGAAATATAGGAGTATTTGGGGGGCTAATTATTGCTGCATTGTTAACTTTAAAAATTGAAATGAGTACAGAAAAGATAATGAAAACGATGAAGAAATTGGATTTCATTACAAAAGATTCTGGGGGATTCAATACTTCATGGAAACAACAAAATAGGAAGAACAACAACCTATTAAAAAAGAAAGGGCAGTATGAAGTAACGCTATTGGGAAAGTTAAACAAGGCAATAGATACGATATTGAAATCATGATAATGGCAACAATTTGTCTCTGAACAAGGTAGACAGCTCCCAAGGTGGCAGTCCTTTTAACAGCTGGCCAGAGGTTGATTAATGCTTTTACATCCATCATGCTTGCCAGACAATGAATGTCTACAAGTGAAGATCTAACCATTGTACTAGATGTTCAATGGCACTACCACTGCTGAATCTCCCACTATCAACATCCTCGTTAGCACTGACCAGAACCTGGAACAGGCATATAAATACACTAGCTACAAGACCAGAGACTAGCAATATTACAGCACATAATTCACCTCCTGACTCCCCAGAGCCTGAGCACCATCTACAAGGCACAAGTCAGGAGTGTGATGGAATATGGAGTGCAGTTCCAAAAACACTCAAGAAATTTGACACCATCCAGGACAAAGCAGCCTTCTTAATTGGCACCACATCAACAAACATTCACTCTGTCCACCAACAATACTCAGTAGTAGCAGAGTATACTTTCTTTAGTCTTATTCACTCACAGGATGTGAATGCTGCTGTTTGATCGAGCATTTATTTCTAGTCCTTAGGTCCCCCTTGAGAAGGTGGTCATGAGCTGCTATCTTGAACCCTTGCAGTCCCTGTGCTGTAGGTACAAGCACAATGCCACACGGGAGGGAGTTCCAGGATGTTGACCACAGGATCACAGCACTGTTATAGTGCATACAAACACAGAAGAGGATCTGGAGGAGGCCATTTGGCCCTTCGTGCCTGCTCCACCATTCTTCACAATTACGGCTGATCGTCCAAGTCAATAGCCTAATCCTGCTTTCTCCCCATAACCTTTAATCCCATTTGCCCCAAGTGCCATATCTAGTCACTTCATGTATACATTCAATATTTTGGCATCAACTACTTCCTGTGGTAATGAATTCCACAGGCTCACCAGTCTTTGGGTAAAGAAATGTCTCCTCATCTCCGTCCTAAATCGTCTGCCCCGAATCCTCCATACTGTGACCCCCGGTTCTGGACACACCATCAGAAACATCCTCCCTGCATCTACCCTGTCTAGTCCTGTTAGAATTTTATTAGTCTCTATGAGACCCCCCCTCCCCACCTCCACCTCATTCATCTGAACTTCAGCGAAAACAATCCCAATCTAGTCAATCTCTCCTCATATGTCAGATCCACCAACCCTGCAATCAGCTTGGTAAACCTTTGCTGTACTCCCTTGAGAGCAAAAGCATTCTTCCTCAGAAAAGGAGGCCTAAATTACAAACAATATTCCAGGTGTGCTCTCACCAAGGCCCTGTATAACTGCAACAACATATCCCTGCTCCTGTACTTGAAACCTCTCGTAATGAAGGCCAACATACCATTTACCTTCTTTACCGCCTGCTGCACCTGCATGCTTACCTTCAGCAACTGGTGAACAAGGACACCCAGGTCCCACTGCACACTCCCCTCTCCCAATTTACAGCCATTCAGGTAGTAATCTGCCATCTTGATTTTGCTTCTGAAGTGAATAACCTCACATTTATCCAAATTATGCTGCATCTGCCATTGATTTTCCCACTCACCCAACCCATCCAGATCATGCTGAAGGATCTCTGCATCCTCATCACAGTTCACCCTCCCACCCAACTTGGTATCATCTGCAAACTTGGCGTTGATACATTTTGTTCCCTCATCCAAATCATTAATATATATTGTGAATAGCTGGGACCCCAGCACTGATCCCTGTGGCACCCCACTAGTTACTGCCTGCCAATTTGAAAAGGACCCATTAATCCCTAGTCTTTGTTTCCTCTCTGCCAACCAGTTTCCTATCCATCTCAAAATACTTTCCCCAATCCCATGCGCTTTAATATTGCATATTAATCTCTTATGTGAGACTCTGTCAAATGCTTTCTGAAAATCCAAATATACCACATCGACTGGCTCTCCCTCGTCAATGCTACTAGTTACATCTTCAGAGAATTCCAACAGATTTGTCAAGCATGTTTTCTCCATCATAAATCCATGCTGACTCTGTCTGATCCAGCCACTGCTTTCTAAATGCTCTGCTATAAAATTCTTGACAATGGATTCGAGGATTTTCCCCACTACCGATGTTAGGCTTACTGGTTTATAATTCCCTATTTTCTCTCTACTTCCCTTTTTGAATACTGGAATGACATTAGCCACCCTCCAATCTGCAGGGACTGTTCCAGAGTCTATAGAATCCTGGAAAATGACCACTAATGCATCCACAAATTCTAGAGCTACTTCTAGAGCAGAATGAAACAATTCAGCCCATTGTACCTGCACCAACTTTTCAAACGAGTATTATTACCGAGTGACAATCGCCTGCTTTTTCCCTATAAATCAGCCATCGTTATCTGATCTGGCCTACATGATGTTTAACTGCCCTAAGCAATAGCCTAGAAAATCTCCCAGCTCCAGCAACACAAGAAGCTTGACACAATGGAGGACAAAGCATGGCGTATTGAGGCACACTGGAAGTGTCCCCACTTCTGGGGCAGAAGATCTGGAATCAAGTCTCAGCCGCCTCAGAAATGTGTCTTAATGTGTCCAAATGGATTGATTAAAGACTTTTTCTTTCAGGACAAAGCAGCCTGCATGATTATCAACTCACCCACCACCACCTACACACAGTAGCAGTGGCATTTATCGCCTGCATGGCGTCCAGGGTGTACTAGCTAGATGGATAGAGAACTGGCTGGGCAACAGGAGACAGAGAGTTGTAGTGGAAGGGAGTTTCTCAAAATGGAGAACTGTGACCAGTGGTGTTCCACAGGGATCCGTGTTGGGACCACTGTTGTTTGTGATATACATAAATGATCTGGAGGAAGTTATAGATGGTCTGATTAGCAAGTTTGCAGATTACAGTAAGATTGGTGGAGTAGCAGATAGTGAAGGGGACTGTCGGAGAATGAAGCAGAATATAGATAGATTGGAGAGTTGGGCGGAGAAATGGCAGATGGAGTTCAATCCAGGCAAATGCGAGGTGATGCATTTTGGAAGATCCAATTCAAGAGCGAACTATACGGTAAATGGAAAAGCCCTGGGGAAGATTGATGCACAGAGAGATCAGGGTGTTCAGGTCCATTGTACCCTGAAGGTGGCAACGCAGGTGGATAGAGTGGTCAAGAAGGCATACGGCATGCTTTCATTCATCGGACGGGGTACTGAGTACAAGAGCTGGCAGGTCATGTTACAGTTGTATAGGACTTTGGTTCGACCACATTTGGAATACTGCATACAGTTCTGGTCGCCACATTACCAAAAGGATGTGGATGTTTTGGAGAGGGTGGAGAGGGTGCAGAGGAGGTTCACCAGGATGTTGCCTGGTATGGAGGGCGCTAGCTATGAAGAGAGGTTGAGTAGATTAGGATTATTTACATTAGAAAGATGGAGATTGAGGGGGGACCTGATTGAGGTCTACAAAATCATGAGAGGTATAGACAGGGTGGATAGCAAGAAGCTTTTTCCCAGAGTGGGGAACTCAATTACTAGGGGTCACGATTTCAAGGTGAGAAGGGAAAAGTTTAAGGGAGATATGCGTGGAAAGTTCTTTACGCAGAGGGTGGTGGGTGCCTGGAACGCGTTGCCAGCAGAGATGGACACGATAGCGTCATTTAAGATGTATCTAGACAGATACATGAATGGGCAGGGAGCAGAGGGATACAGATCCTTGGAAAATAGGTGACAGGTTTAGATAAAGGAACTGGATCGGCGCAGGCTTGGAGGGCCGAAGGGCCTGTTCCTGTGTTGTAATTTTCTTGGTTCTTTGTTCTTTGTACAAGATGCATAGCAGCAGCTGCTCACCAAGGATCCTTCGATAGCATCTTCCAAATCTATGACCTCTACTAACTCGAAGAACAAGAACATTAGATCCATGCAAACACCACCACCTGCAACTGCCCCTTCAAGCCACACATATGTCTTCCTGACTTGGAAATATATCACTTTTCCTTCACTGTTGGCTGGATCAAAATCCTGGA